AGCTGATTTACAGTTTTTTTCAGAAGTAACTATTCTCATAAAGTCTAGAATTTCTTAGTTTCTGCTGTTACATGTTTTCAGGAGTTGACGAGTGGACTGTCTGAAGAGATAGTACAGTGAGTAGGGCACTTTCTCTGAGCATTGCCTAACCCTCATTTGATCCCTGGCACCCCAGGTGATCCGCCAAGACCCATCAGCAGTGATTGCTAAGCACAGAGTCAAGAGTAAGCCCTGAGCATTGCCAAGTGTGGCCAAAAAAAGAACAAAACAAAAAACAAAAAAGCTGGTCAAAATATATAAACCTAAGAATAGCCAAAGTGAGTCAGATTATAAAATTTCTGTAATTCTGTAATATAAGGTCAACTGTAATTATATTATAAAAATTCTGTAAAAAAGGTCAACTGTAATTTATTCAACAAGGGAGGTAGTTAGTCTCTTATTAGTAATTAGTGGACAGAATTAAAAAACTGAATAAGTAATGTGTGTTCATGCTTCATAAACCTTGCTATCTATACCTATATTTTTGAAAATTATTTTTTCATCCTGTTACAACCCTAAAGAAAACATCACAGTATTGGGATTCACTTGGTTAAAAACACTTTTAAGGATCCAGATACAAAATTATTGTTGTACTATCTCTATGGCTTCTCTATTCTTAGTTTTTTTGCAGAATCACCATATGTTTTTCCTAAGAGTTTACCTAGACAACATTTCTGCCAGCAGTGCATGAGAGCTCCTTTTCCGTCATGTCCTGCCAGCACAGGTTATTCCCATGCTTTCTGATATATGTCCTTCTTGTTGGTGTGAGGTGATATCTCCTAGTTGTCTTAATTTGAGTTTCCTTGATAATAAATGACAATGAACATATTTCATATGCTTATTGGCATCTATCATTTTCTGAGAAGTGCCTGTTCATTTCCTCTCCCCATTATAAAATTTTTAAGCACTATGTGATTTACAGAATTGTTAATGATAAGATTTGATGCTTAGAACATTCTAGCAGCATTCCCTACACCAGCATATCCACTTTCCTGAACCATTACCCCATGTCTTCCCCCACTCCTGCCCCTCAAGCTTTCTGCAGAAGACCAGTTCTTAGTGTCTGTTGCCTTTGGGCACTTGTTAGTCCCTACTATGTTTCTTTATTAACTATGATTTTTAAGCTATACAGTACAACCTCATGACTTATTTTATAACTGGAAATTAGTACATTTTGGTTCCCTTTACTCACCGCCTTCCTATCCTTGACAACTACTATCTGAACAAATGTCTGCATATATGGGCTTATTTGAGAAGAGCCACAAGGGAACAAGCATTAGAACATTATTTTCTCTTCGTGTCATAGTTATCTCTATCCCAATATTTGTATTCATCTGAATTATTTCATTTTCCATAAGGCCCTAATGATCCAGTATGGATTATAGTTAATAAAAGTAGTGTATATTTGAAAGCTGTTTAGAGTAGATGTTAAAAGTTCTCATAATAAGGAATGAAAGTTTGTACCTGTGTGGTAATTGATGGTAACTGTTTGACAGTCATTTCATTTGTCAAGCATATGCAAATGTTGAATCTCTATGTTGTTGAAACAAATATAATGTTATATGTCAATTATGCCTTAATTCAAAAAAGTGGAATATACCCAGGGTGAGTTTTATATGAGAAACAGTTGAAAGAACTTAGGGAATATTCAGAAATACTTAACGTCTTCAAATAACAAAAGGGCTTCCATGTGAGAAAAGTGACTTTCTGGACCTCAAGGCTTAGAATAAGAATTTCTGGATCAAAATTATTTCTTATAGTAAGAGTGTTCAAAGGTGATTGCCCAAAAAAACTGCATCTCACTTTTTCTATCTATACTCTAGGCAGAGCTTGGGTCCTGACTTAGTTCAAAGAACTCGGATCCTGTGGAATCTGAGGAAGTCAACCTAAAACCTGGCATGTAGGAGAAATATATAGTTGACCAGATAGGAGAAATATAATAGTTCCAGTTAAGACCATCTTCTGTGACTCACTTCTACGCAAATTTCCTTCAGTTGGCTTTCTTTTTTGCTTCCTTAAAATTTTTCCTTACCTATTTATGCATCAATTTGCATGTTGTGAGGGGATCTATGTTATTGAAATAAGAATATAAGTAGTGATCAGTGCAGAAGAATATAAATATATGCATATACATGTACACATTTTCTTTTGAATGAATGATGATTTGCAACTTGAATGATGATTGAAACTGGTTGAATACTTTCTAGCATATCCATAATATGAACTATTGTGCAGTTTTGTAGACAGTGAAGTTAATCCACCGTCAAATAGGGTGGGCAAGACATGGAGTTAAGCAAGAAAAGCAAGAGTAACCTACATAATTTGGTGCGAATTCGTGACAGATGTTTTATTAGATATAATTCATGTTGGTATATATTGATGTGAGAATAGCATAAAGGGTAGGAAAATATTAAATGAAGTTGTTAAAACTGGTTAGAGAAATTGATGGTAGGGTGGGTTCTTGAGGGACAGAAAGAAAAGGAACACAGACAAAAGAAAGTGAAAGGAAATGGCTTTATCTACCATTCATTGACAACCTATCCAGATCTATCTATTCATCTGTCTCTCTGTCTTCTTTCCATCCGTCCATCTAGCTTCTATCTATACATCTGTGCTTCTGCCACCTATCTCCACTTGTTGAATTTAAACATGTTAATTTTGAGGATGTTCATAAAAGAGGGCCAAGAAAGGAAAATTAATTAATTTGTTAATCAAGAAAATTTTAATTTGTGGGGCTACAACCGTCAGTGCTCAGGATTTCCTCTTGGATCTGCATGCAGGTATCACTCCAGGGGAGCAGGTGGGTGCTGAGAGCAGGTGGGGTCTACCCAAGTAGACCGCATGCAAGGCAAGGACCTTACCCATTGAATAAATTTCCCTTTTTATGTTATTTACATTGTTTTTTATTTGTCCTCTTACAAAAATTATTTCACTCCTAATATTAAGGAGAGATCTTTATAATAAAAACATTATTTCAATTCTTTAAAGGTGGTTATTTAAAAATTCTTTGGGACATGGGTAGATAAAATATTTTATTCAAAATTGAATTTCTATATGCCATGAAGATGAATAACTTGAAATTCAGTTATAATTTTCCTTGCATTTTACTTTGTGTGGAGGAATGAGCTTACTCATAGTGCTCTAAAAATGGTTTCACTCCTTTTTGGAAATAAAATATTTTAATTTTGAGAAATTTACTTAAAGGAATATTAGGGTAGAGAAATAGAAATGTGCTCAAAGGAGAACAGGGACTTCTCCTAAAAGGAAGAAGCTGAGTACACATCACAGGATGAAATGTGGGGTGATCTCCAAGATAGAGAATCACTGTTACTGTCCTCCCGTTGTTCATCGATTTTGCTCGAGCTGGCCCAGTAACGTCTCCATTGTGACACTAGTCACTGTGTTTGGCATATCGAATATGTCACAGGTAGTTTGCCAGGCTTTGCCCTGTGGGCGAGGGGCAGAGGAATGGAACCTGGGTCAGCCCGGTCGGCCGCTTGCAAGGCAAACACCATACCCACTGTGCTATCGCTCCAGCCCAAGACAGAGAATACACCATAAAATAAAGAAGGAATTATACATCTCAGGTCAAGATGTGGGTGAATCTCCAAGATGGAGAATGCACCTTCATTTTTAATCCTAGGGAACACCAAAAGGGTTAGGAGTCACTAAACATTTTCTCATTCCTATGGGGGAGATAGGGCATTAGGGACAGTTTTGACCTTCTTGATGTGTACATATATGTGTATGTATATGTGTGATCAGTTTTATATGTACATATATGTGTGATCAGTTTTGTCTGTAGAGATTGCCAGTAGGATGCCACAATGATATAATGCTGTATTTTAAATTATTTCTGAGAACTGATTTCAATACTGTTACCCTCAGGCATTTTATTTGATGCTGGTAATTCTCTCTACATAAAGAATTTCCTTCCGTAGAGAATAGTTCTAGACATTGTAGAGTTGACTAGTGATTTAACCTGTACGTACTATAAAAGGTGATTTAGTGGAGAATAGAATGCTCCTTCATATTCATACTTAATGTAACTCAGAACTGATCTCAAGTAGTCATACTGATACTAAAGTTTAAAAAAAAGGTATGCCAGATGAATAGTAATAAATGACATGTCCTTTACTTTAAGACACTCATTGTATATGCCAACTAAAATATGATTGCATCTTACTAAACTTTTGTACTTTATGAGGTTAAACCATAAGTAAAACAGTTGTATTATAATTTAATTTCTGAATTAAAAGTGTTAGAAATCCTGTGGAACCCCTTCAGGTGGTCATTAAATACTGTACATTTCATGCAATTCCACAACCACGAAATGCAACCAAAATTTCATTCTGCATAGGGCTTTCTTGGTGGATACAAACCAGGAAGTTATAAAAAGTATTTCTTTTCATACCAACACCAGCATCATACACAGAGAAGACCAAAATAATGTGTAAAAATACAAAGTAGGATCTATGCACATCTGGCTCCATTATTATTATTATTATTATTAATTCAAAGGCACTTTCAGAAAACTAGTCATGTGCATTGACATTCTTCCACCTCACAGTCTGAAAAAATATTTCCTGGAGCCCCCAAATTGAATGGTGCTTATGGGCATTTTATCTGCCAGAAGAGGGTGGGAAGGATGGGGAGAGGAAATGTGATTTGGTGAAGGAACGAATGAAGGGGAGTGTGCTGTGGAGAGCTGAGATGATGGGCTGAATTGCCTGTATCCACATTGCTTGGGGCATCCTGTCAAGTGTGTTTCTTTGATTTTTTTTCCTCATTATTGCTTTGTTTCCTTGGTCATATTATCTGCTTCTTTCTGCAGATCACCTCCTCCATACCCCATTCCCTAGGCTAGGCTGTAAGGCTTCATGCAGGCTGACTTTCCTATGAGTGTTTGAATCCTTGGTTTTTTGCTGCTTTTCTCATGCTTTTTCTTTATGATGTTTCAGCTCATCCACCATATACCATGTGCTTTAGAGTGAAATTCTACCCACACGAACCCTTGAAGATTAAAGAAGAGCTCACAAGGTATTTTTCATTTGTTTGTATGTTTACTGTGCACATTTACCCAGCCAGGGCCTCCTCATCTTGAAGACTAAATGTGCCTCCCACCTTAAGCAGAACATCTCAAAAAAAAAAAAAAGCAGGCAGTCACCTCATCAACTCAGCATTTTGGCATGGAATGCTTCTCTTGCATTTAATTGTCTCTGGATTTTTCAAACAGTTGTCATTGGGAGTGTAATTAAGTGCACAAAAAAGCAGTGGTTATGAGGAGGAGGTTCTCCCTGAAAACATCTGACAGCAGGGTACTAAAAATAAATAGACAATTAGTGTCTTTAGGATGCAGGCAAATTCATAGCCTGAGCAGCCTATAGTGACAATATTTTCAATGTAAGATTTTCTGGGAGTGAAAAGGTTACCTGATAGGAAGGACTATTTCTTAATGCGGATTTTGCTCATTTTATTAGTGTTTGTGGGGCTGGCTTTCCTCTCCTTGAATCCTCTTCTCAGTTCAGTTCTCTGAATTGTCCAGTTCTCAGGCATCCGTGTCTCATCTCCCTCCTGGGAATTTTCCTTCCATGAACAGCCTTGACCAACGCTGCTGAATGGAGTCCTGGAGCCTCCATGAGGTGCATGGAAGAAAGCCCTGTGTGCCTAGATCTTGATGAGACTCTGAGCTGGTGACCAAAAAACAAAAAACAAAACAATGTGCCCCATTTCCTCTCAGAATCATGGGCATAGGTGCAAATGCACGAGAAAGTCAAATGCTGACCAGTGTTAATAGTGGGCGTGTGGGGGAGGGGAATAGGTTCTTGGAAAAATTGGCTTCTCATCTGTGAATCCCCGGAAAGCTTGGTACCATGAACAGTTCTGGGTGACCTTGGAAGAGAGCAGATGCTTCCATTCTCTAGCATTATTTTGCACACAGTCATGCAAGGAGCTTTGTGCTGGAGCAAAGGGGACGCAAGGTGTGTCTGGAAAGTATGATGATGACACAAGTGGCGTTAGGTATTTTGTAATTAGGAGTATTTTTTTAATTGAGGTAAAATTCACACAACTAACTGATTTCACCATTTCAGTCAGTGGCATTAAATACATTCACAACGTTGAGCAGCTTTACCTCGACGTAGGTCCAGAATGCTTCCCCATCACCCTAAAATGAAACCTTGTGCCTTGTACCTTTAGCTCTCCCTACTCACGTTCCCTTTCCCTCGCCTATTTCTGTTTAGTTTAGACTTTTCATATAGACTCATATAATATGGTATTGACTTTGCTCTGACTTGGGGCTACACTCAGTGGTGCTTAGGGCTGATGCTGAGTCCCTGAGTGTTTGGGAGATCGTATGTGGTGCTCAGGCTCAAACTGCAGTTGACCACATGCAAGCCGAGTGCTTGACCAACGATACTGTTTCTCTGCCTTCCCCCTTTTTCTTTAGCTTGAAAATTTGTTCATTTCTTTTCTATGTCTTCCTTAGTTCCTACCATCTACAAAGCTCAGGAGGACAGGGGAGCTATAAAAGGAGAGAAAGAAAGCGAAAACAGACAGACAGACCAGCAGACAGACATAAATGCAGAGAGAGACATTGACATTTATCCTGCATTCTGGGTGCCAGCAGTGTACTTAGGAAAACCAAGTCAAATTCTAAGGCCAGGAAGTATTTTGTCTGATGCCAAATGGCTCGCTTTTATCTTTTATTTTCTTTATCATGTCTGGAGAATAAAAATGTAATATGTTAAGGATGGATCTTTTGTCATTGTTATGAAAAGTACCATTTAATGTGAATGAGTAAAAATTTTTTGTCAATAACTCTATTAAACCAATTAATTTGCTGGTATTTTCTGTGTAAGACAATAGTGAGGATTGAGTAGTGGAATATTATGAATATCTGCTAAGAATATTAGAATGTTATTTTAATGCCTCCTGATGAAAGTAAAGCAATATTCTGTCATTGCAGAGGTAGAAATAGGATTTTCTTAATTAACAGATTTTTAGATTTCTATATGATCCAGAAATTGTGAAATCCCTCCTGCATCTCCTGAGCCCTTTCAGATACTTATGGTTTAAAACAATATCTTGATTATTCAGTTTTTCATTTTTGGTGAGTTGTTATTTTATTATAGAATTAATCTAAATTTTAATCAGAATTTAAAATATGAGAAATTAAGGCCACATTCAGGACCTTGCTTAGGGATAAATCTACACTGAGAAGAAGACAAGCTTCAAAAAAGTAAAACATAACAATATTCACAAAAATGATTATTTAAAGGCTGGATCAATGAGCTAATGCAAATGCTTTGCATGTGGGAAGCCCAGCTTGATCCCTCAGCATCTCACCAGAGTATTACTGAATATGGCCCCCTAACAGGTGCTGGAGATAATACAGTAGTTAAAACCCATGGCTTATATGTGCCATTTGATCCCCAGTAGCACATGGTTCCTTGAGCATCACCAAGTGCATCCCAGGAGGCCCCCAGTACCATTGGAGTGGCCTGAGTAACCCCAGTATTGCCTGATTCCAGCAGCATTGCATCCTCAGGCCCTTTGCTGTAAGAATGACCTGGTTGGCCAAGAATGACTGCTGGGGTCCCTGGACCTCTTGAGTAATGCTTGAGAGCTCTCAATCACTCCTCAAAGAGCCAAAACAAAATAGAACAAAGAGATATTTGAAATCATGTGTTTAGCATTCCTTTATCTCTGTAATTAAGTAGTCATTTTTATAATCCTTAATATTGTTGGGGTAATATTGTTGGGATAACTGAATATAATCAATGTACATTGGTTTTAATTTTTCTAGTAAGAACCATCTTTAAACTCATATTGGGTAATAAAGCAATGTCACTAATTATTATTCAGTAATGTATGTCCTAGTTTTTCAGTTGCATTTTTTCAATCTATTCATATAGGAATCACACTATAGGAAGAATGTATTATCATATTTTGGGTTGCTTTTGTGTCAAATATGAGTGTTTGAGCCTGAATCCAGTTGGCAAGCTTAATCGCTGTTGAATCCATATTGATTCTTTATTATCCCTAGAATTCATGACTATGATAAAGATCTTAAGCTTAGGTGTTATGAAAGCTGCTTTTCCTTTCTCAGGAAGTTTTCATCAATTTTTTTTTTCTGAGTAATGGGATTTGGACACAAAACTTTCAGTCATCAGTAAATAGTTATTTGAAGCTATTTTTCACTACTAAATGCATAAAAATGTTAAGGATTGCTTGATAACCAAAGCATATATTTAGCATAGAGAAATGAAGCATGGTAGCCTAGTACCTATCAGTTTTTAAGAGGGTAAAGGCTTGGTACAGAGGTTAAGGCACTTGCTATGTGAGTGGGCAACCCGGGTTCAATTCCTGGCAGCAGACTTAATTCCTTGAACTTGCCAGGAACGATTGAAGAACTCATATTTAGGAGTAAACCCTGAGCATAGCCTGGTATGTCTCCCACAAAACCAAAAAAGGGGAACATTTGCTTCCTTATGTTTTGTTACCTTCACATTTTGATGTGTCTTGGACTGTGATGTCTTTAGTACAACAGTATCAGTGTCAATCAGTGTCACGCTGGAACTTGGTTCCTGCATCAGATGTGGATGGGGTCCACAATGTCTTTTAATAATCTCCTGGTAATTATAAAACACTACTCTAGAAAATTTGAAAACCACTACTCTAGAAAATGATTTTTTTTTTGTTCAGTCAATAAAGCGTACAACTTAGTAGACTTTTTATGTTCCCAAAGTTGAGCCACCACCCCTGCCAGCGTCAATTCATCATCAGTGCAATCTAATTCCAGAGTATTCTCAGCACACAAACAGGAAACTCATTACCACAACAGTGACTTCCTGTTTTCCCCTCTTATCACAGACTCTGTTAGCCACTGGTCTTCTTGCTCAGGGATCACTCCATATAGAGTCAGCCAAATACAAGACAAGCACCGTACCCACTGTACTATCACTCCAACCCAGGTCTACTTTCTTTGTAATAGACTTGCCTATCCTGCACATTTCATATGAATAGCATCATACTATATGTGGCATTTTGTGACAGGCTTATTTTCACTTTGCATAATGTTCTCATTCATGTAGTAGTAGGGTGCTTGCCTTGTATTTATCTATTTCAATTCTTTTTGTTTGTGAATATTCTACTGTGTAGACATGTCTTTCTTTTAACCATTTACAAGCTGATAAGTATTTGGGTTGTTTCCACATTATAGCTATGAGTAATGCTGCTATGAATATTTTTATGTGTTTTTCTGGAGTTATCTTCTGAGTATTAGCCTGCAAAGAGCATCTACAACATTGATGTTTTTCATAAGTTCCCCCAAAGCTTCATGTTGTTCTAATATGCAGTTCATGCTGAGAAGCACTGATTTAAACACTTAATTCTTCGTGTGTGGTCAATGAACCTAGAACACAGCATCATCAAAAAAAAAAAAAGGCGAAAACCTGCATGTATTTGCTAAGTAATTTTGGTCAAAAACTTTAGGCTCCAGGTCTGAGCCTTTTTAAGAAAAGAATAACCCTGATTAAAAAGAATGGTGCAGTTGGAGTGGGATTAATTATTTGGAGGAAAGAAAGGACAGAGAAGCTGTGAGTCTGGGCCAGGGGTCCAAATTAGGCTGTTTGTGCTGGTGAAAAAGGCTTTGCTCGTATTTTTGGTTTATTGCTGTCAGGATGTGTTGCAGCATTTGATAAAATTCACTAGATTGGGCCACTCAAGACAGTCTCCTTGATTTTCTATAAAAGCTGACTTCTTTGACCTCAGTTGCAAATGGAGGCATTGGCAAAGTCTCACTTTCACTCTGCTACCCATCCCTTCAGCAAGCCTGTTTCTCTTATGAGAAGGTTTGCCTGACTGTGGAGTATCTGAAATTGCCTTCCCCAAAGAGGAAAGGACACTAAACCAACAAGAGAGATAAGTTTGCTTCCTGCCCTCTCCCAGACTCAAGTCTCTTGGCGATCAACTGCCATGTCTGTCTGCCACCCACCATGGCCTTCATGTACTGACCCAGTACATCTCACGATTCTCCTTCACCACGGAACATGCAGTAAGAGTGGGCAGTGGTGATGGCCCTTGTTGTCTCTGTGTGGTGTTACTACCAGGAACAGAGCCTTCTGGGTTTTCCTTAGTCCTTGTCCTGTTTCTTTGAAGAAGTCAAGCCATACAACTTTGGTAGCTGAAAAGATTTGTGGAGCTATAAACACTTCAGATTTCTGAGTTCAGAGTCTCCCCAAGGTCCTTACTTTATTCTCTGAGGGATTTCCTTGTGTATTAGTCATTGGCATGAGGGTCTGGTCACTCTGTAGGACCAAGCATGAACAATCCTTCCAGGCTTTATTCCAAATTTAAGTTGATTCACTCTCCTGTTTTATTGCAGGTACCTCATGTATCTGCAGATTAAAAGAGATATTTTCCATGGACGACTGCTTTGCTCCTTTTCAGATGCTGCTTACCTAGGTGCCTGTATTGTCCAAGGTAAGTATGCATACTCACCCTACCGCTGCATCGCAGTGTCTGGCTTGGGCTATTCTGATCGTTCTTCCTCCCCCACCAGTGCCATTTTCACCCATACCCCTGGTTGTGACCAGGAGAGGCTGGGCACTTACCAACATAGTCCCTACTCACCACCTTAATCCCTCAGGCCAGTCGGATCTTGATGCAAGAATGAGCTGTGCTGGTCACAGAAGCTGTAAGAAAGGATCCTCAAGTTCTTTCTGTAAAACTAAGTCTCTTAAAGATCTTGAATGTGTGAGGGATGTGGGTTTCTTTGGAGATCATATAAGCAGGGGTGGGGGCTAGTATATATTGAGGAGTAGTTATGTCGGATTGGTTGATCTGAATTTTCAAACAATTGGAATTAAATCTCAAAGCATTTTATGTATATATGATATTATTATAGTATATATAATATTATATATGTGATACATATTACTATATTAGCATTTTTTGTGTATGAAGAGCAGTACATTATTTCTGGAAGATGCAGTTTTTCAGGATGTGAGATGCTCACTGTCTGTTGAATCTTGGTTTGAACCTTCTTTCCCCATTTTCTTGTTATTTCCAGTCATGGCAAATTGTTTAAACTCTGTCTTTCCATATGTAACAAGTGGGGAAAATGCTACCCTCTTTACTCACTATATTATATGAAGATTTTCTGAAACTGGTCTTAGGGTTGAACAAGCTTAAGAGGGCATGGCAGTGAGAAACAGGCCAAGATGACACTGCATTGGCATTTTGATGTTCAACTTTTAAGAAAAAGCTCTTGGTGGTCTCCAAGGTTCAAGAAAATGTACTGCCTCTTTCATGGGCCTGCACCCACGTGAAGAATTGTCTCCTGAGCCAGTTTGGAGAGATCTTACAGTAGAGCCTGTTTGATGATCCCTGGTGATTGTTAGTGAGACAGAGAAGGCAGGGAGAAGTGGGTGGGTGGGAGAGGAGAAGAGAGGAGTGTGAATAAAGATTGAAAACTGCTAATCTGCAGCTTTGGTCATAAATGTATGCTAATCCATGGACTAGTATGCAGTACAGATAACCAGTGTAAGGGTTTAAAAAGATTGAAGACTCAGTTCCTTGAAGAACAGGGTTTCCAAACCCCACAGGCTCCTATTACTGATGTTGCAGCATTAGTACCACAATAGAGATAGACCATGGCATTTTCCCCCTGGAAGCAGTCATACCTCATGGTCTTGTAAAGATGAACTATTTGTGGTGAAAGCACTGGGGTAGGGCCCAAATGCATAGTGTGGCTTTATTACCCACCTGTCACCTCATCTCAGTTTTTTTTTTAAATTAATTTTTATTAGTGAAATACCAAACATTTCAAAAAAAGAGATCATTCCCACTACAGCGGCCTTAAGAAAGTCTCCAATCTCTTTCCTTCCCTGGTACAAAGCATACACAGATCTGAATTTATGACAGTTTATAGCCGACCACATGTGACGGTCATCCACCTACATTACCCAGATTAGGACACAAACCATTCTCTCTCCTGAGAGTTTTGCCATTGTCCACCAGGGTCCCCAAGAGGTCTGTGCAAGTACTCTTAGATTCTGAAGAACATATCTGTGTTGCTTCCTCTCTTCCCCTAGGACCCCTCAAGTGCAGGGTAGTGAATTTTAGCACAAGTATTAAAACTCCTGGGATATTCAGCAGGAACATTGTGATGGGAAATCGTGTCTCTGTCAACCACGATGTAGAGATGCATTTCAAACCTTGTCCTCTCTTTCATCATAGTGAAGGGATGTTAACAACTTACAGTTCTCTTCCTTTGTGAAGACTGCAGATGACTAGTTCAGGTTCAACGATTTACATTAGTGAAAAGTAAATCAATAGGATGCAAGGAGCAGACTAGCATTTCAGGTTTTCAGATCGTATTAAGGCATTAGTGAATTAAAGCCAACCCTCCGAGGACACTCTCAATATGAGTCTGTAATGGGAAACTCTCTTCCTGTTTTTACTCTCGAAATAAAACCACAGACTCCACCCCGTTAGCCCTCTTTGCCATTATTGCTGATCACACATACAGATGCTGTGGAGAAAGTGACTTCATAATGGTCTAGCTGACCTTCCCAAGAACCTTTGTACTCTAATGTGCAGTAATGTCTATGAGATCTTTGTAGCATGCCAGTAAAAGCTAGATTTATATTGTCTCTGATGCTAGGGTTATAATTCAGAGACTCTAGAACTTTTTAATAAATGCAGATAAAATCTTCTTTGTTAAAACTGATTTTTACAGAGGGTATTAGGGAATGCAGTCCATGATTAAAAAGCAAGAGGATATGTGCCTTTTCACCGACTTTGTGTTTGCAAGTGTTCTTCTAAAGAGCATGCTTTAAGCTTTAAGCTAAGATGATTCTGACTTGGAAAAGCAGGCAGTTACCCAGAATTTTTCCACCTGCGTGTATTGAAACAATGAGCATATTCTTTTTAGTGCATTTCTTTCCTAATAAAAATTGCAAGACAAACACACTGAACTTTAAGATACCATTTATATCCTTGATGAGTGAGGTTATGTGACATTAAATATATGTCACATAATTTATGTCAGGGCAAACTTAGCAATAATATTTCTCTGCATTTGGAGAACACATATTCTTCCTATCCCCTCTCCAAAACAAACAAACAAACGAACAAAAAAAAATAACTTGAGACATAACAATAGTTCATGGGGGGGGGGGCGCATTTGCCTACCACTCAGTCAACCCAAGTTCAATTCCTTATGACCCTGAGCCCCACTTGGAATGATCCCTGAGCACAGAGCCAGAAGTAAGCCCTGAGTATTGCCAGGTGTGTTTGTTTGGTTTCAGGGTGTATGGACAAAGAAGTAAATGGGCAACTGTGATGTGTCAGTGGCTTCATGGAGGGACACATATGTTTCTGCTCTCACCTCAGGAGGGTAACCATCTCTGGAAGGGTCGACCCAAGAGCTAGAATATCCTATGTCTCAAGGTTTGTTTTTTTTTTGAGAGAGAGAATAGGCAGAATATGTGTTCTCCAAGCCCAGAAAAATATTGTTGCTAAGTTTGCTCTGTATATTTAATGTCACATAACCTCACTCATCTTCAAGCCTGAAATTTTGGGAGAAGTTAAATTTTCCTAGAAAAGTACTAAGACCTGTTTCAAATTGTGCTATCTCAAGAAGTGCTAGGACCTGTCTCAAATAACATCTAATGTATTGCATGTCGTTTGTCAAAGTCTTGTGTAGAACTGAGAACCCAGCTTCTCTCGGTATGGCAAACAAAATTTGAGTAGTGTAATTCTTAAATCTATGGCCAGAGCGATGGTACAGTAGGTAGAACTTGCCTTGCACATGGCTGACCTGGGTTTAATCCTTAGCATCCCATAAGGTCCCCTGAGCCCAGCCAGCTGTAATTCCTAAGCACAGAGCCAGGGGGCAGCCCTGAGTACCTTCATATGTGGCACAAAAACAAAACAAAACAAAGCAAAACAAAACAAAGGAGTTCTTACTTTTTAAAGCATCCCTTTGCTGGAGCGGTAGCACAGTGGTGGGGCGTTTGCCTTGCACGCAGCCAACCCAGCCAGCTGAGCTGGGTTCGATTCCTCCGCCCCTCTCGGAGAGCCCGGCAAGCTACCGAGAGTATCTTGCCTGCATGGCAAAGCCTGGCAAGGTACCCATGACGTATTCAATATGCCAAACACAGTAACAAGTCTCATGATGGAGATGTTACTGGGCCCGCTCGAACAAATCGATGAATAACGGGAGGACTGTGACCGTGACCCTTTCCTTAAAGTGAAGTCAAAGTTCAAGACATGCGGCAATGAGTGAGCAGGAGAGCAGAAAGAGGCACTGACACCAACCTTCTGGGGTGCCTGTGTAATTTTCATAACATTTCTTCTCATTTTCTTTATTTCTGGAACTTGCTGGACTATCTAGTTATAAGTGTTAAACAATTTTCATCCATTGTCCCTTGCAAATTATCTGGGAAAAAAATAGTATTACCCACTCCCACGCCCCCTGCAAAAAAAAAACCAAACAAACAAACAAACAAAAAACTCTTGTACCAACTACTGTGAAAGCTGACATGTATTGATTGAAAGAGGTTCCAGAATCACGGGATCATCTTTTCTATGGACCTGTAGTAAGTAACATCTGTGTTTTGTTTATCGATCCTAACAATAATGACCAATCAGTTTGCCTCCTTATTATTTTTTTTAATTCAGAGGTTCTTTTGAGTATATATGTACAGAAGTCGAATCAATGGATCAGATTTGACCAAATCCTCTCAGTCTGCCTCTTAGAAGAAAAAACAGAATTCTGCAAATAGAACCTACTTAGACACTCCCAAGGGCTTTCATTTTCTTGTATTTCTGCTTACACATGGACTCATCTGACTCCTTAATTATTCTTGTCAATCCTTAGGTGCACTGTCATATCTTACTATTTTGGCTGCATGGTGCAGATTATTGATGAGTTTGGACATATCTCCATATACTGTATCTTGTGTTTCCCCTTCCATAGATTGCCAGTTTGTATCCTTTTTTTCCCCTGTTGGTTTTCTTACTCGATAATTTATAAATATGTGTGAGTTTGTTCATTGTTTCCAGTCTTAGATCTCGCAATTATATTCTTTAAGCTTGCCGTTTATTACTTTAACGATGATGTCCTTTAATAGAAGGAACTTTGTAACTTTTGATATGATGAATGAATCAATCCTTTCCTCAGTGGTTGGTGGTACTTTGGATCTTATTTTAAAAGTACTTCCTCATGTGGCTTTTATTTTAGATTAAGACTTTTGTAATTTAAATTTTATTAAGAATCTTTCAAGAGCTTTGCATCCTTCCCCATTTTTTTCCTTTTACAGTCATTTAACTGTTCAAAAATGAAGAAAAGCAAATAGAAATGACAGAGTTAGCTATGAAATTGTAGTTATATTCAAGGCTTATTGATTCTTGTTTTTGTTTGGGGTTATACCCAGCTGTGCTTAGGACTTGCTTCTGTCTCTGCACTCAGTGATGACTCCTAGCAGAACACAGGGGCCCATGTAGGATGCCAGATATTGAACCTAAGTTGGCCCACAACAATGCAAATGTTCTACCTGCTATTTTATGTCTCTGGTCCTAGGGCAGATTGTTATCTACCTTAAATTTATGTTGGTGATCAGGTTTTTTTTTTTTTTTTTTTTGCTTTTTGGGTCACACCCAGCGATGCTCAGGGGTTATTCCTGGCTCTGCACTCAGGAATTACTCCTGGCGGTGCTTTGGGGACCATGTGGGATGCTGGGGATCTTACCCAGGTCAGCCGCAAATGCCCTACCCATTGTGCTATCTCTCAAGCCCAATCAGGTCTTTTTTTAACATAATTTTTCCACATCTTCGGTTTATTCCTTTGGGCTATACCCTGTATTTTAGATGGAGGTATTTATGCTACTTCTGGCTCATTTTCTTTCTTAAGCTTATAGAATCACTACCACCAGAATATCACTTTTTAAATTTTAGGTTGTTATCCATGCAAATTCTCTCCTAAACACCCTGGATGTTCAGAATTACGCAGGCATTTCTTTTTGATTTCAAAGACCTGTGGAAAGTACTTCAGATTGGAATAGAACAGCAGTCAGCTCTGGTCCCTTCAACCATATTTAGACACACAGTCTTTATTTTTGTTTTGTTTGGGGGGCATAACTGGTGGTGCTCGGGCCTTACTTCTGGCTCTGCAGTCAGGGATCATTCCTGGCAGGGCTTAGGCTTGACATACCGTGTCCTGGGATCAAACCCATGTTGGCTATGTGCAAGGCAAGTGTCCTACCTGCTTTACTATCTGTCTAGCTCCAACAAACAATCTTTAATCTGAAGAACAATCCATTTCATTTTTAAGCATAATCCTCTTGGGTGCCTTCGTATTGTGATTTTTTTTTATTGAATGAGCTACACCTACACAAATTTCAGCGTAGGATCTTCCAGTCAGGGAATCCCACAATTCAGAGAAAATTAGCTTGTAGAGTAATCTTGTGAACACAGAGTAGTTTCTGATTAAAAGTATTACTTTGTCCTATCCGAGGGAGCATTTTGAAATACATGGGATACATTTGATAGTCATAACGATTAGTGTGCCATTTGTACTAGTATCTAAATAAGAGGGATGCTAAATCTCCTGTCATGCTTGGGAGCTGTGCAGAAATAAGGATAGTTTAGCAACTGCCCCTCCTATGCCAATATATCCCCTCACCAAGAAAACAATTTAAATTCACTTATTATGTAACGGTAAAGGTAAAGGCAAAGGCCCTCCCGTTGATCATCGATTTTCTCAAGCGGGCCCAGTAACGTCTCTATCATGAGACTTGTTGTTACTGTGTTTGGCATATCGAATACGTCACAGGGAGCTTGCCAGGCTCTGCCGTGCGGGCGAGATACTCTCGGAATCTTGCCGGGCTCTCTGAGAGGGGCGGAGGAATTGAACTCGGGTCGGCCATGTTGGCTGCATGCAAGGCAAACGCCCTACCGCTGTGCTATCGCTCCAGCCCCTAAAATCAACCTGCAGCAAGCTATAAACTAAACACTTATTATGTAGATAAGGAAAAAGAGACCGAGATCTTATCATGTACCCATACTCATACAACTATTTCTGAATTAGAATCTGAGCTTCTACACTCAGTCTCTGACCTTTCCACAGATAGAAATAGATTTTGGTGTCTGGAGTACTTCAGGCTTTTATCTCTTCCGGTTTCAGAGGCTAATTCATGTGCAACTTTGCTCTTGTTTTTAATATTTCTCTTTCTCCATTTTTCTCTCTCTGTTCCTCTCTCCCTTCCCCTCTCCCTTTTGTAGCTGAACTTGGTGATTACGACCCTGATGAACATCCTGAGAATTACGTCAGTGAGTTTGAGATTTTCCCCAAGCAGTCACAGAAGCTGGAACGAAAAATAGCGGAAATCCATAGAAATGAACTCAGGTACTATAATAGGGGTAGACATTTGTAAGAATGATAGAGGTGAGAAATATTTTCTTGCTTCACAGAATGCGAAAGTCATGTTGAGAAGTAAGAGTATTTTTTAATGCATGAATAGACAATTCCAAATGCAGAGAAATAATCTGGGTACCATCTCTCCATCTCAACTACGCAGAGTTACCTGGATGCCTTGTTTACAAACTAACAGCAGTTATCTGTCATATGTCTTTTTTAATTTTATTTTACATAAAACTGTTAACAATAATACATTACATTCATTATTTCAACACCAATCCCACCACCATTACACCCATCACTATTATTTTGAAGTTTCCCACCACCACTTAAGCCTGACCCACAGACAGATGCTAGATAATTAATTTTGTGTTGCTTGTTATGAATAGCATGAGATGTCATATGGCTGATTTTGAAGCCATGCATTCCTGGAATTCTAAAATCTTAAGGAATTGGTGTCTGGAGACATCTCTGCAGTGAGCTGATCAGTTCCGAGATTCATTTGTGAGTTTCTGGATCATGGCCGTTAATGCGCTTAACTGGTGCCCAGAGGCAGTTCATGAGCATGACAGCCAGGACCCCAAAGGGGCGGGGAGATGGGAAGGAGAGACCCATCCCTGATTCCTTGAGGTCTGGAGTTTTCAGTCACTGGTCCTGCATATACCTGGGTTTTTCATTGGGTTCTGGACCTTTGCAGCCCCCAAGATTCATATGGGGCAAGTGGAAGGATGACGCCTGCTCCTGTCTGAGGCACCCTGGTGAAATCTGCCTGACACAAGGTCGGGAACATCTTAGAGTGAGCTGCTCGGTTCTGAGATACACCTGCGAGTCCATCTGTCATATATCCTTGTGGGTTCTGACTACCCTGAGGTCTGAAAGTGAAATCTAGGATAAGTGAGTAATTCCTTCTATTTTCATCTTTCCCTGCCCTTCCTCCTTTCCCTTGCCTTCACTGAAAACCTTCACTCCAAGTCGAGTGAAATCTGTCCACAGCTTTCTTGGTAGCGCTCTTTTCAGGATGACAGCTTTAGTGTCTGGTCCTCCTTGACTTCTTTTCACTCTTGGACAATTGTTTACAACTGGATAATTCTGGAAGATTAGCAAATTATCATATGATAATTACTGTGCACCAGACACAGTTTTAAGTACTTATACATGTTTTGATGAAGGAGATAAATTCCATGGTTATCTTGTTTTAAGAGGATCTGAGAAACAAACACTGAATGACCCAAGTCCATAGAGCTAGCAAGAGGTAAAGGCAGGGTTTGAATCCAAACAGATTGACTCCAGGGTTTGTGCTCGTAAGCATTGTGCGGTGTTTTTTTCATATAGACTCAGGAGCAAAAAATGCAATCAGGGGAATTATCCCAATTTGGAATTCAGGTAACTCAGCTGTTCTGGTATGTGATGAGATTTTAAGGTCATGCAAATCACCAAAACTTTAATTTTATTAATAATTGCAAACCTGAGCTATGCTGTGGCAAATATTAATGGAGAATTTCAAGAACTGAGCTGGTCTTATATTCTAGACTTCTGATAATTACTTAGAACAATACAGGTTTCTGGATCTTGGAACAAACCATTGTACTTTTGTGAGGGAGTGTTGTAGCTCCCTGCTTTAGGCAGGCACTCCCCCTTCTGGTGATTCAGAGATGAGTCTACATGTGGGCATTAAAGGTGGAATCATATTTTAGCTTGGGAAAAATGACCATCTTTGTTTTTAAAGATAAAAATAGACACTAAAATTATAGTGATTTCAAAAATCAGCATACTGTCTAATGGGCAATTTTAAGTTATTGTCTGCTAAGAAAAATTTTGGCTGAAAATATATGGCTTTTTTTTTATATCTCAGGAAAAACATAGTGGAAGTAAAAGTAAAGTACCAATATTACAATTGAGGATTTTTTGTACCAGAACCGCATTGTCTGGAGAGAACCAGATGAAAGTCCTTTTGGCTGATGGAGTCACATCCACTGTATGGATTGGCGGAAACAGGAATCGAAATAGTGGGGAGAATTAGGTCAGAGTGATTAGGATTTGTAGAACCTCCAAGGATTTATTAATTGACAATAAATTCTAATCGAGAAATTACTGGATATAACGCTGTGCTTTATCTCATTCAACCCTCCCAAACTCTCTGAGGCAGGTGTAGTATTGTTGCTCGTTGAGTTGAAAGCAGCACAACCCAGAATAACTAAAAGACTTGCTCTTGTGGTAGCTGGAGACTTGCTGTCTCTCACACACCTCTGCTCTCATCCGCTGTGCTGAGCAGTAATCAGACAGTCACAGAGTCATGTTGATGATCCACAGTGACCACCTTGGCAATGGCACCAAAGGGAGGAGAGAGAGAGCAGGAGGACCAGTTCATTATTTGTGCTGTCCAGCAAGAGCTAAAAAGAAAAGTAGAGAAAGTGGAAAGAAAGGAGAGCATTCAGAGACATATTGGGAAGACTCGATGACCTCTGGATCTCAAGAGTAAATGAATGAATTAAACATGATTTCACATACCCTATAAGTTTTTTAAAAACCCTGTATATTATATCCACAGATATACTACCATAAGAAAAGAGAAAAATCATACATTTTTCTGCAACTTGGGTAGAACTAGAGGGGATCATGTTAAGTGAAATAAGGAAAAATACTAAATGATCTCCCACAGCTGTAATATACAGAGAAACAAAACAAGGGACCAAATAGTATCAAATCACACTAAACCAAGCTGTGAACTATCGAGGAGGACTGAAGCTGAGCCCTGGACTAAAGGGGGTCACTGAAGCCTTCCCCTATGCAAGCAAAGGGGAGTGGGTTAGAAAGAGGAATGATGAGGGGAGCCGGAAGTAGCTGAGGGGGATTTTCTTGTGAACTTGTTTGGGTAACTGTATTCCTCAAAACCTTAAGTGTTAGCATTATTGTAGACTTATGACTTACACTATAAAAACTAATTTTTTTTTTATAAAATGGTCAACACACAAAGAAAAAACTATCCTGGACCTGATCCCAGTACCTGAATGAGCTGATAACTGGGAAAATAGAATCATGTACCCAGCGAATGCAGGCTATCAACAGTTCATCATACTCAGAAGCAAATCCTACAGCTTGGTTAAACTGCCACTCTACTTGATCACTTGATCACTTGACTTCCCGTTAATCATTGATTTGCTCAAGCGGGCACCAGTAACGTCTCCATTTGTCCCTGTTGTGTGCTAGTGTAGCCCAATGGCATCTGTTCGCTCTAGGAACACGAAGAGCCTCAAACCGATCGTTCATGATCTTGATGAAGAAGTCTGACCATCTGGTAGGTGGGCGGCCACACGGTCTTTTGACATCCTGTGGAATCCAGTCAGTAAAAGCTCTAGTTCAGCGGTCATCCTTAAATCTCGTTATGTAACCAGCCCATCTGATTTTTGACACCTTAGCCACTCTACATCACTACATATTTTTAATATTGAGAAAACCGTTGTGAACAGGCCAGAGTTTATATGTGAAACATTAAATGGGTGGAAATGACGTAACATTGCAAGGAAGGAGTGAGGGGGCATTTTCCCATGTGTGTTTACTCATCCTTCTCAAATAGCGGTGTTTCCTTCTGTACCAGAGCAGCAAAGAGACATATATGGTCAGGGTGGGGAGGTTAAGAGAAGCAAAACATACTGACATTATAGAGAGGGAGGGTATGTAAACACAAAAAGACTGCAGCAGTCTATCTCTCCCACCGCCCACGTTCGGTAGTCTCATGCCAGTTCCCCCATGCTGAGGACGTCAATAGAATTATCTATTGACAATAGATAATGGATTATCTATTGTCAATGGATTATCCTGCAAATCTGATGGTGTCCAGGAGGGAGGTGAAAGTGGAAAAATACTCTACAGTGATCACTGCAACATAAGCTTTGCCTCCATCAAGTGACAATGTGGTCACCAAATTACTATTAAAGGAAATTCCCAAGAGGATTCCATTTGGTTTTCCTTGGGACTTAGGGACCCCAATGTCACCTGCTTCCAACCTGATTTCAGAACCAGTTGAGAAAGAAAACAAAATAGATAATAAAAACAAAACAAAATAAAAACAAAAGCAAATAGATAATGTTGTTGATTTACAGTGAGATGATACATTTTTACCCATTAGTATTGCAAACCTTCTCCATCAGCATCTTTACTTGATTGAATTTGTTCTCCTGTGCACAAACCATGACTATTTTTGGGAGAGAACTAATCAGGGGATGAAAACCTCCCTCCCCGGCACATATACTACTTGAAGGAAGAACTATTGTAATTTGATAAAGTCTGGAGTAGGAGAGTTCTATAGAGAGAAAGAGTCACTGCTTAGAATTGGAGGGTGTGTGTGTGTGTGTGTGTGTGTGTGTGTGTGTGTAAGGAAAGGGGAGGGGTGCTTGAAAATAGAAAATCAAGATTTTGCTGAGTTTTCACAGGCTGTTTAGATTCCTTTAGATGTTTAAGACATTAATGAGCTGGATCCAAGAGAAATTACAGTGGGCAAGGTACTAGTAGTTCATGAAACTGACCAGGGATTGACCTCCTGGTACCATATATGGCCCCATGAGTACTGCCAGGAGTGATCCCTGAATGCAGAGCCAGGAAAAAACCCTAAGCACATGTGTTCTAAATGTGTTATAGATTACACACATACACACACATACACAAAATTGTGAATATATTGAAACTCAAGCTTGGGGTAACTTCGTTTTCTATAGTGTGCCACATCTTGACTGAACAGGACGGTAGTACAGGGAGAAGTCATAGTTTTGAAAGTATATTAGTATAGTTATAGGTTTTCCCTTTATTAGTCAAGAGAACATACATTTTGTTGATAAAATAGCCTCTAAAAATTCATGGCTTAGCATAAAGACATTTCTTCTTTGCAAATTGTGTGTGGTGCGTGTGTTATAGTTGATAAGCCTACATTCATCACTATTCACCACATACTGTATACCTCAGCATTCTTTTGATGTACATTCATTGGGTTTGGA